CCCCGGAAAGGACAAGTACGGGTTCGAGTCCCATCCGAGACTGGAGTTTTGCCCACAAATCGCCAACCTTGTGAGACTTTCGCTTCGCGTACTGCGGCGGTAAAACAGCAGTTAACAAAACATCAAGTCAAGACAATTTCTATCACGTAAAGCTTTCAGCTTAACGGTTCAGTGCTGATATATCCCGACTAGCTCAACACGTTGTACGTGTGAGCACCCATAAGCTATGGCATATAAGCCATTAAAAAGGCGAGGGCAAGCGGGCTCTCGGTAGTGTAGTGGGATAGAGCACGGTCCCCGGAAAGGACAAGTACGGGTTCGAGTCCCATCCGAGACTGGAGTTTTGCCCACAAATCGCCAACCTTGTGAGACTTTCGCTTCGCGTACTGCGGCGGTAAAACAGCAGTTAACAAAACATCAAGTCAAGACAATTTCTATCACGTAAAGCTTTCAGCTTAACGGTTCAGTGCTGATATATCCCGACTAGCTCAACACGTTGTACGTGTGAGCACCCATGAGCTATGGCATATAAGCCATTAAAAAGGCGAGGGCAAGCGGGGTCTCGGTAGTGTAGTGGGATAGAGCACGGTGCCCGGAAAACACCTTGTGACACATCAAAGGACGCTTCCGAAGGCATACCGCTGCTGTCACTGGCTTCCGAAAAAAATGGAGTGACTGTAGAATATCAGTGGTAATAGGTACAATTACTGTCATCATCAGTTCCTAGATGTCAAGTCAAATGAATATTATAACGCAAATTTTCAGTATAAACCTTTACAGCATTCGTGAAAGCGCCAGTGAAAGAGCTCACAGTGAAATCGCGTTTGCCGTCCAAGTCGCCGCCAGCCGCGGCGGTTACATCGCCTCGGGCTCAACTACGTGAGCTAAGCATGAACACTCCGCACATGCACTTCTACTTAATGAGAGAATCAAATCACTCGAATCACTGAGCGACAGTCTCTTTTGTTCTGGAAATTTCTTTTGAAAAAAGCACCACATCCTGTCCCCTAGGAGGCACCTTCACTTTTGTGCTGTCATTGTATAATCACGAAAACTTGCCAGAAGCACTTTCAGATTTCTAGTGGCACACGGTATCTCCTAAGATAATCTGAATCTGGTGTCACCACAACTGTTAAACTGATATCAGCTCCCTAGAAGCAGTTTATTCCAGCGATCAAATCGGCGATTTTGATCCAAAAATGGTATCGAAGGTGCCAGGCTCGACTAGAAGCACGACGTCGAGCCACCTGGAGTATATTCACAACTTTGGAGTACGCTGGTGAACAGGATCAGTTGAAGGTAAGTGATGTGGAGTGATAGAACATTGAAATATCCTTTCTGTAGCTGTACGACTTTTTCAGTGACGTGATCACCGCCATAGTGAACAGCGAAAACGAGGAGTACAGCAGTTCTCCATTTGTTTCTGGTCAGTTTGATTTCGATAAACTTTCGATTTCCCTAAACAGTGAAGTAAATGTTCTCTTTTTACAGCGATCAGCTCCTATGCGAAGGAAGGTAAGTGAAGAGCAGTCAAAGGTAGTGAACAAAGTGAATAATGTGTCGATGTTCAAGACTATGATAGTGACGATGCATTTCGGAAGCTGATGGAAAAAGCAAACCCTGCAAATATGACTGTCGAAAAACACTATAAGGGACCTGTACTCACATTGCCACTGGACAGACAACAAATAGCAACCATGATCGACGCTTTTAAAGTAAACAAGGTAAGCTCAGGTGAAATTCTGTCGAATCCCAAGTGAGGCCAATCTTCCCAACGCAGTAGACCTTCTGTAGTAGTCAACAGCTCTAGGAACTCAGTGTGCTTACATACAAAAAGCAGGATACATCGTGAATACGAGGGGAATCGAGTGCCTCTGCTCTCTTAGGTCGCCTATTAGCCTACATCATCTATTATCAATTTCTATCACCTTTATATGGGATCTAGTTACAGCGAAAATTTTACACTAAGTAACCAAAGCTTCACTTCCAATACCAAAAGAAGATGTGATTGAGTGACTCTTGCATTCCAACTTATTGTCAGCCCTTATCAGTTATTATCAATCCTTGTCAACTACCCGTCCAGAATTCACGAACTTGACACATCTAAAATCATCCACAGAAGTGTCAAAGTTTCACTTTCACAGTTCACCAATGTTGCTTCAGATTATGCATGTGCGATACGTGCTTTTGATACTTTTTGAAGCTCGCCGACTTCTGAAGCAGCAACCTACAATCGTTCGCCTTTCTACCTCAATTTCTAATCAGGTAAAAGATGAAAACATTTCCTGTACCGCTTACTCAGCCATATTCTGAACTTAGGTAACTGTATGTGGTGATTTACACGGGAAATTCGATGATCTTTGTATCATTCTTTACAAGGTAAGAAGCGCAGCTACGAAGTTTGAGGGAATTCGTCAGGCTTCATATTTTTCAGAATGGCTATCCTTCACTTGATAATCCGTATATTTTCAATGGCGACTTCGTTGATCGTGGAGGTCAATCTATCGAGGTTCCTTCGTTTGTCTTAATCATCTCACCTCAACGACGCGTAGAGATACAGTACCATATCGTTTAGTTCTGAAGAAGTTATACAGATATGAGACGAAGTGTTCGTTAAGAGCACTTCATTTAGATTGCAGTAGTAGAAGCCTAATTTGGTAAGGGTGTCATGTATTGATAATTCTTCTTGTAGGTGCTGTGCGTACTGCTGGCCCTGTTCGTTCTGGATCCCAATGCAATCACACTGAATAGGGGCAATCATGAAGACCACATCATGAATCTACGCTATGGATTCACGAAAGAACTCATGACCAAATACAAGGTTAGAAAATTTGAATGAATAGGAGTCTGATGACTAATCAAAAAGTGCTGAGCTTCGATTAAAAATTGTGAAAAGAAATCACCAAAAATCGGTCATTACCAGACCTTACAATTAACACTTTATTTTCATTAATACTGCTCATCACTTAGAATTTCTAATCAGGAACACTCGACTACGATCACGAAGACGCTTGAGGACCTGTTCTCATGGTTGCCAATCGCCACCATCATTGACAAAAATATCTTCGTTGTTCATGGTGGAATCTCAGACAAGACGGATGTGAGCCACCTCGACAAAATTCACCGAAATAAGGTACAGTACTGCAACGTTCCTTATGATTGTCTCACTATACGTATGTATTGACTTATAATGAATACTTTCCTTTACTTACATCTTTCTTCTTATTGACTTACCACTATTAGGCGCCTCTGTTTATGGCCGATCATATGATGTAATTGATGCAACCAGTAACCAAGAAATCGCATTCGTCTAAGTGCTGGAAATTTCCCAAACTAGTCGGAGTCAGCCATTCAGAAGACGTTTGTGAGCAAGGAATACAAGCCTCCGATGCGAATTTATTGGGGAGGGTGGAGATATAAATCCGACATAAATTTAACAGGAACTAAACGCATCGTTAATAGCTACAGCGTCGCCAAACGACGCATTTCACAAGGTCAAGATATTAACAATAAGTTGCAGTTAGCTGGTCGAGGTAAGCCACATTACCGCATGTATATTCGAGCACTGATCTCAGATTCTCATCTCGAATAAAAAACTGGTTGTGGTGATGGAGTTAGGAGAACCTTACCTCGATGTGGCATATAGTTCCTCGGCATAGATGCTTGCATGCAGCCTTGGCGTAGCGTAGTACACTGGTGTGCGCAAACCTCTATCACGAGATGGCTAAAGTCGCATAAAACATAAGCAGCTGAGTGGAAATAAATGAAAAGCTGGGAGCATATTGCTGGAGCACGAACCTGGAGCTCCGTGAAGGAAGAATATGAGTAAGTCACAAATTGTGGTCGCCCGCGCAAATGGAGGCAGTTGTTCGGTATGAACAAATTTCTTGACAATCAATCAGTATAGTGGTCTATATTTCAATACAACCTATCTCGCAGACAACATGCGAATGACTTCACACGAGAATCATCTGGAAACTCGAACAGGTCGGACCATAATGACTGTAGCCCAGGAGCTCGGTATCGCTCACAGTGTTGCATTAAAAGCGTTTCACGCTCCTGGTGCTGTTCCCCGGAGGAGAGTAAATAATGGACCAAGATCAACTACCCCGAGGGATGACCGCTACATTGAATAGCAAGCGAAAAAAAAAGAAAAAAGACCAGCTTCTAACAGCATTGGATGGTATTAAACAAGACTTTAAGACAAGCCTTCTCACGCGCCCGGTGACGAGTTTCGGCCAGCAAGTCGATCTCCTTTCTTTTCCTACCATCGAGCTTCTCGAACAAGGCGTCCATTTCCGTATTTCCTTTCCTAGTTCAAGGAAAAGCAGACTGCCCGGGGGGTCTTTTCTATCAAACCGTCAGAAAAAAAGTAACACTTGCATCAACATCAAAAGCAACTGGAAAGTTACTCAACCAAACTTCCTCTTTCTTTTAGTACCAGTCAGTACTTCGCCCTCCTGTGCGAAAGGGTTCCGAGAGCAATGCGGTGAACGTGGACGAGTGGAAGCAGATGCTGGACGTACTGTGGAGTGATCCAAAGCAAAACAAAGGTAAAAAAGAAGTTGGTAAAAAGGTGAAACGATTATGCCTATTTCAGGATGCTGGCCAAATGTATTCCGAGGTGGAGGATCATATTTCGGAGCCGATGTCACTGCAACATTCTTGGAGAAGTCAGTGATTATTGTTGAACAGTGTGGCCTAACGAAAATCTCAAACTTATTTCAGGCATGGATTCAGTCTTCTCGTTCGTTCACATGAGTGCAAGTTTGAGGGCTATGAGTTTACGCATAACAAGACGTGAGTAAAAAAAACTATTGAAACTGCCTATTGCAAGCGGTCATCATCGTGTGTTGAAAACTGTTTTCTCATGAAATTCTTGATAGAGGTTACAAATTAGCCCAAAATCTTGACTATAAAAGTGCGAAAGAGGGAGGTAGGACAAACGGTATTGCTCACTTCGCAGGGATATTGTTGGGGACCTCGAACGGAATATCCCGTATTTATCTCATGAATCTGTCAAAAATACTTGCAGGGGTGGAGGCTTATCTCTGTGAGTCCACACCTTTTTTACACCATGCATAATTGATGGGCTTATTTGCATTTCCCCACCTATCTGCCATCACAGCTCATTCATGCTGCGTAATGGAGAATCGGAAACAGCTCCGTAAAGCCTATTGTGGAATGAGTAATACTGGGCGAACATGTTCCAGAGTGCTAACGATATTTTCTGCATCGAATTATTACGAACTTGGAAGCAATCGAGGTGCTTATGTGAAATTCATTGGTCGCAACAAAGAACCGCACTTCGTTCAGTATATGGCATCCAAAACACATCGCAAAAGCACGATGCGAGAGAGGTTCGTAACTAAACTCAGAAGAAAAAGGAGCAACATGAAAGGTGTAGTTCAATTCCAGGCTGAGTCTCGTGGAAGAGTCTGCTGTACGTGAACTCAGAGAAAAGCTAGGCTCGTTTAACAACAGGCTCCAGAAAGAATTCGAACAGTACGATCCGCTACAGAAAGGTGATCTAAATCCTTTTATGGTACCAAGGTTATCTAAATTTGTTTATGCAACCGTAGTGAAAAGCTAGCACAAAAGATTGTGAAGATAACCGCTCAACGGAAGGGAATTGTCATAGAAAGACTCACTTGCTTTCATTTCCTGTCATCATATCTAGAATTTCNGAATTTGAATTTTCCTACTTAGTCAGTCCTTGGCAGCTGTTACCGCTTTCTATTACCAACATACACTGTTCCTTGAATGGCTGCTTTCATAGTCCGTCGGCCTAGGGCGGCGCTTCCCCCTTAATCTTGGTCGATACCCTCGGCCGAGTAGTCCCCCGGCCGGCGCGCTCGCGGGCCGACCGACGGACTATGAAAGCAGCCAACAATAGCCATTGAGACGACGAGGGCTAGCGAGGCCTCAGTAGAGTAATGGGTAAAGAGCACCGATAACAGAAGTACGGGTTCGAGTCCCGTTCGAGGCCAAAATTTCGTCCATAACTTATTTTGAAGTTTTGTCCAACCTGGAGAGATTTCTGATCGCGTACTGCGGCGAATAATAGCGGTTAAGAAAGTATCAAGTCAAAAATTCACATATTGACCCCACCTACCTGATGTTGTTTGCAAATACGAACCCTCTAGCAGTGGGGCCAGTGCAAAGCATTTCCTTATTCGTGGCAGGACGGTGGCAGACATATCATAAGTAAATGTTGCGAAGTGGTATCAATCATCGATAACATCAGCCTGTCCAATTTGAAACAACGTTCTAGCAGGCGCCATCGCGGTAATTTGGTTTATTGCTATCAGTCGGACACCCCCGCTGACACCGGGCCCAAATTTGAATGTCTGGGTCCAAATTAGCTGTTTTTGGCGGGGTCAAGTCATGCCCCTTACCGCTAGTGCTCCCACCTTGCCACCTGTACCGCGATCAAATATTGAAAGCTTCAGGTATCATTAAACAGGAATTATATATAACACTTCGAGCACAAATTTTTCGCACACACCTCCCCCCCTGCGCGGAGCCATTTCCTGCCACGTACCTTCAGTAATGCTTCTGCCAACTATACTTCTGAAAAGTTTCATCGCACTAGGTCCACGGGAATAGCAATGATGAGCGCCCGGTCGGATAACACCCACAACCACACAGGCAAACCAATAGACACACTTGGCGCGTTATATATAGTAAGATAGCTTCAAGCCAGCTGCTCATTTATCAATGTTCTCAAGTCGAGCTCTTCCTTATTTTGTGAAAGATTGAAATGTACGAGTAGGCAGAGCATTCCTCGCGTAAGTAAAAGGAATTCATTAAGGGTGTCCTCGCGTAAGTAAAAGAAATTCAGTAAGGGTGAAAAAGTAGTTGGGGGGGGGACACCCTCCGCGTCTTAGATTGTTGACGTGTTACTCCAGGTCAGAAAGCCGTGCACAAAGTACACGTGGAGTGACCTGAGGTTACACGTCATCATTTTACTACACTTACTTAATATCGATACGTGAATCACTTTTCAATTCAACTCGCGGATATAGCTAATTGATTACTGTCGCTTCGAGTCGTTCACCTTAATAACCACATGGCCGGCGCTTGCATCCAAGTCGAAGGGGGAGCTTGACGAGTGTTTGACGGACTGTGGACTGCTGTGGAAGACACGATCCTGTCCGAACTGTGGGAATCCATGTAGGCTGACGAAGCAAGGGAAGAAGGACGAAGAATGCGTACGCTGGAAGTTTGAGTGTTGCAGATGACCGCGCCAACGGCCAGGGTTTCCCCACAAGGTCGGGTACTTAAAGGACACCTTTTCGAAAGGCTACATGGCGTGCTACCTCTTCGCCTACAATACCCGAACTGTGCAGGAGATGGCGCGAACGTTGGAGATAAATGAGAGGAAC